ATTGATTTTTTTGCTGAAAATGATTACTCGTATCCAAGTAAATTTGGGATATTTCTCGTGTTGTAGTCACGCCCACCTATCGTGAAACGGCCGACTGTTTCCGGATTTCCGACTCTCACCGAAAGTGCGCCACCAAATGACAAAATGTGAGAGGAAGTCATACCCCTGAGCCGTAATAACACTGGTCGTTTAGTATACTTTTAAACGATATACATTTTTCGGTTGGCGTTTTTTCTTTTTTTTGTCTATTTTTTTATTTTTTTTTGAGAGAGAGAGTTTTTAGATGTTGTGTTGTGGGCAGTTGCAGTGAAACGTATAGCCATAGTGTATGTTTTCACACGTTTCTAATCGATCCGAAGGTGCGACATCACTTAACCTTAGATTCACTTTTTTGGGAAAAACTGTCCTCGTCCATAAAAAAAAAACGACTAGGTTTAAAGAGAAACACAGACAACGTAAACCTGGCGCAACACTTTTGAAAGAAATAGATTCCGGACCAGCCCATGATCACCGAGGCGGATTTCAGAAGAGAGAGAGACGTCCGGCAAGTGTTTCAAATCAGTTGACTTTTTTTGCGATCCTGATTATCGTTTTATAGAGACCATTAGGTCCCTGTTAAGTAAAAGCACAGTCCCTCTACACAGAGGGACTGTGGTAAAGGGTACCAATAATTTTGACAGTGACACGAAAACGAAGCGTCGGACAAACAGGAAATTACACAGCCCTTACACACTGCTAACTGTTTTCATTTTCGAAGGCCAAAAGTTTCTGAATTGTTTGGTGATTGGTGTTGAATGTCGAATTCACACCTCTGTTCTTTTTTACCTCCATGCTTGCAGCTTGATCTGCGTAATAATTTATGAAATAAGAATCAGGGCTTGGTCAATGTGTTTCCACCAAATAAAATTTTAATACGATGTTATAATTATGACAATCACGCTATGGATCACGCTAACTCGAATCCACTCTGAATTTATCTGTATGTGTGTCGATCTCGATTATTTTTGTTATCCAATTAAACGCCGCTTTTAACGCACTTGCCCTCGCCGTGACCCGACGCGTTCACCTATTTCAACAAAATGTCAATTTATTTCCACGCGGCTGTCATTTATTTAGTAACTGTGATTTGTCGTTTTTTTTTAATTATTTTATAGTGATCACTATAGTCTAATGTTTAGAATGTTAAAATATGTTCTCTTTTATTTTAATTTTGAAAGTTTTACTCAGACGATCGATGAAATAAAACAGTGTAGTGACGTGCCTAGTAACCTGCTAAATAACGAGATAATTCCGACGTCAAATTATATTTTGCATCTAACTCAACCCCATGCAACAAAAATTGATACTATGTGTTCATTATGGTCCATTCTTCCTTGACGAACAAGTACATAAGCGACAATATAGTCAAAGACGAGAAAACTGCACAAGAAATTTGCCTTATTTACACGTATCAGCAATGCAAGCTGCCATGCGACTTCCCCTTCTGACGTCACAAGGGGAATTTCTGTATGCAAATGAGAAGCTAATAAGGAGCCTCGTTTTAAAATACACAAAAATAAAGTTGCCATAGACTGAGTTTAAAACACATTTTTTCACTTAAAAAAATAATTCATGCTTAGAAACATAAAAATTAATAATATTTATGTATCAATTGATAATTTTAGGCGTGAAAATAGCAGCCATTTCACAGGCACTTTAAAATTTCTTTAATTGGAATGTGCATTGTTAACAGCATAGAGGCTGCTTGTCAGGGTTTAATGTTATAAGTTATCTTGAGCTATCTCACTCATCATGCTTCACACACTGCTTCCTTATCGCATCCAACAAATTGTGACTATTGTTTAGGTTATCATACATAAAAAATATAGTTATTTTAAAATTTAAGCACCATTTTCAAGGTTGGGTGCTCAATTATTTGCTGAATGGCCCTCCTAGGAACAGTACTCACACTTGCGTGATCTCTATTCCGTTAGATATTTAATCCAGTTTATTCAGCTATCACTTGAATGCTTTTCAAAAACAATTCCATTGTTATGAGCATATCACGTGTAGTATTTTGGAGAATTCACTCATCTAATATTAAATTTAGAATAAAATAACACCCAGAACACGCACAAATACTATGAAGGCAACTTATTTGTTTAATTTGCTGTGAAAATACTGAAATTATTATTACATGGACACATGACTAATTTGCATAGTTATTTCATGGCTCTTAATAATACTATTTGTGCAAGAAAATGATTCTAGAGGTTTTATCATTCAAATATACATAACCATAACATTAAACAATATACATGTATATGAAGTGACAAAATTGTGCTACAAATGCTTGGAAAACTCAACTTTAGAAGGGACTTTTTATCTCATCTGCATATTTTTGTAGTCAGTACTAATATTATTGAACAAGTATGTAACTATGAATACTGCAGTCCATACATGTGTGTAATAAGATACTTTAGTTTACATACCTCTTTTAATAATAGTCTATATTATTTAAATAAGTAACAAACATCCACACATACAACAAATGTACGATGACAGATTACAACAAAAATGTCACTTTTAACATATCATGTACATAAATTGTTTGCAAGTTGTCAAAAGTCATTTGAATTCTTCATAAATATATATACCTATTTATATATGTATTACAGGAGCGAGTGAGGAGGTTGGTCAGCAACTCCTGGATGTCTGTAATGGTAATCTGGAGATGGCTATTGGTATGCATTTGGAAGGCGGGTCAGAAGGTCCAGAAGTAAATGACAATGTTCAGGATAATAACCAGGCCAGTACATCATCTGTTGCCGTAGAAACACCACAAGATGAAGAGTAAGATAATGTCTTTGTTCATTCCTTTAGATTCTACGCTATTCCCCTTCCACTCCTATACATCAGTAAAGATGTATAAGGCAACGTAGATACGTTTATCCATGTAAGTGATATGTAGTGACGTTCCTGCGTCAATAAAATACATTTCTAACCATTAGTTACAAAACACAATTGATGTTTGGAAAGGTTCAATTGCATAAACAGAAATGGCTAGGATTATCATCCTATTCAAAACATAAAAAATAATATTTAAGCCTGCATAAGAAATTTATATTAGAATTTGTTTTAAATCTGCTAATAA